TTCAAAACCCCCTTATAATAATGTTTTACCCCATAACCACCTCATAACTACGGGGACAGGAAAGAATGGATTGAATACAAAAATCAGCAACACTCCATGTTGAGTCCACAGAGAAGAATCTAAAAACTAGAACTGCTCAGCACAGAGAACCCCTAGTGGGCATGACCATGTATAAATAAAGGACACTTATTCCAGAGCATTGCAAACTCCCATTATTTTTATTCACATAGGAGAGACAGGGAAACACCAGAATTTCCAGTCCAAGTGACTCCCTGTGGTTTTGGATAACAGTCAACAAATTTCCCTGGATCTCAGCTTGTCCATCTATAAAATGGGAATATCACTATGTACCTCACAGCGCTGTTAGCACGGTACTTTGACAGCATAAATCTCTATATCAGTGCTAAATTATAAAACAGCCATATAATTCCTCACTTTTAAAAACCAACTCCTCTCGCAGACGAGCTGCTTGTCATCCCAGGCTGCTGCCTCTGATACAGAGGCAGCAGTGGAGGGTAGTGGCAGCCCCTGTCTGGGGAGGGTCTGTGCTCCCAGACCCATCGCAAGCCGGAACTGAACCAGGCTGCCTTCATGCCTCGCTCCTAATACGCTTTAAATGCAGAGCCGCAGCGGGGATAGGTCCCAGACCCACCGCAAGCCAGGACTGAGCCGGCCTGCTGGCCAACCTGCTAAAATATTTACTGGCAAGTGGGGGAGGGGGGAAATGTGTGTAGTCTATAGTATTAACCGATACGCTGTTGCTTATTGGTTAATAGACCACACTATTACATCCCTAGTGTTGTGTGAAGAAAAACTCCCTTTTGTTTGTTTGAAACCTGCTACCTATTAATTTCACTTGGTGACCCCTAGTTCTTATGCTATGGAAACAAGTAAATAACTTTTCCTCATTCACTTTTCTCCATACCTGTCATGATTTTATAGACCTCAATCATCTCTCCCCTGAGTCTCCTCTTTTTTAAGCTAAGTCCAGTCTTTTTAACCTCTCTTCATATTGCACTCATTACAAACCCCTAATCAGTTTTGTTTCCCTTTTCTGAACCATTACCAATGCCAAGATACCGTTTTTTGAGATGAGGCGACCACATCTGTACGCAGCATTCAAGACGTGGGCGTACCATGGACTCAACAAGGTCATTCAAGGTCAAGGACTTAACAAGGCACATTCAACTAGGTCTCAGGCTAAAACTTCATGGGTGATCTAGGTATTCTTTTAAATCAACGTAAAAAGTTGAAGACACTGAATCATTAGCAATTGAGGCACTTACACCGAGTTTATGAACACACCATATGACGTTCATTTTCCTTTCATTTATGTACTACCAAGGCCAAAGTTCTGGGTTTCAGCTGAAAGACGAGACTATCTCAAATTGAGAGACTCTGGCTCCCTTCAGTGTTTGAGGTGCTTGGCCAATCTGCTACTGCTCCAGGAAAGACCCTCAAAGCCATCTCTTGAAAGATAAAATTCTGTCAGCTCACCTTTCAAATGGGACCCTGGTAAGACTCTTTTCTAGCTCGACCCCACCCTGTTCAAGTCTCCCCTCATTTCTTGTCATGAGGTTTCTTTGCAGAGGAAGCGCTTGGAAATGGTAGCCTAGTTCTACGCCAGAGGCATATAGCTTTGCGTTGGAGTGCTTTAATATGTTTTTATATTGCATATAAAACATGCAAACATAAACCAGTTTGCTGAAAGCTACCCTCTTTGTGAAAGCCGGCTGTAATTCTGAACAAGTTTTCAATTTTCACACTGCTGCTAGGGTAAAACATTTTAAAGAGTTTAATTTTTACAGTGGCTTTACTGACATGGGATTATCTAACAAAGTAATGGCTAATCAATAGAGGGTTTAGTTGTCAGGTGAAACATATAACATACTAAAAGGGATTGATTGCCGGACTCTTCCTTATTTACTAGGAGGTATATATTTAAAATGACACAAACTTGTTACCAAGCCGCATTCTTTTAACCTTGCAAAAGCCGTTTGAGAAAAACGTTAAGCAGCCCTATAGCAAAACAAGCTCTAATGAAAAAAAAAGTCTACAATGATATGGCAGCATCAAATCATGTCAGG